TAAAAATACAAAATTAGCGGGGCGTGGTGGCACATCCCTTTAATTCCAGCTACTCAGAAAGCTGAGGCAGGAAAATTGCTTGAACCCAGCGAGGAGGAGCCTGCAGTGAGCAGAGATGGAACCATTGCACTCCAGCCTGGGCAACAAGAGCAAAACTCTACCTTAAAAAAAAAAAAAAGGATAAAGTGCATCTCTACATATTGACAAGTAATGATATCCATAATATATTGCTATGGAAACCGCAAGTTGTAGATCTCATTTTTGTTTTAAAAAATTAATATGTGCCAACGCCGTGGCTCACGCCTGTAATCCCAGCACTTTGGGAGGCCGAGGCGGGTGGATCATGAGGTCAAGAGACCGAGACCATCCTGGTCAACATGGTGAAACCCCGTCTCTACTAAAAATACAAAAAATTAGCTGGGCACAATGGCATGTGCCTGTAATCCCAGCTACTCAGGAGGCTGAGACGGGAGAATTGCCTGAACCCAGGAGGCTGAGGTTGCGGTGAGCCGAGATTACGCCATTGCACTCCAGCCTGGGTAACAAGAGCGAAACTCCGTCTCAAAAAAAAAAAAAAATTTAATATGTATATAGTTTATATATATAATATGTTTATGCAGATATACATTATATTTTAAAGAAGACAGTCAAGAGATATCTCAATTTTAACACTGGTTATCTCTGGGAATATGATGACAAGGGGATTTATACTTCCACTTTAAACATTACTATTTAATATTTTACATTTTTGTTTTTGTTATTAGTATTTATTTTAAGAAAATTATCTAGTTGGTCTTTTTTTTTTTTTTTTTTTTTTTTTTTGAGATGGAGTTTCTCTCTTGTTACCCAGGCTGGAGTGCAATGGCGTAATCTCGGCTCACTGCAACCTCAGCCTCCTGGGTTCAGGCAATTCTCCCGTCTCAGCCTCCTGAGTAGCTGGGATTACAGGCACGCGCCACCATGCCCAACTGATTTTTTGTATTTTTAGTAGAGACGCGGTTTTACCACGTTGACCAGGATGGTCTCGATCTCTTGACCTCATGGTCCACCCACTTCAGCCTCCCAAAGTGCTGGGATTACAGGCCTGAGCCACCGCGCCTGGCCTCTAGTTAGCCTTTATTTACTGTTTCATAGTTCACAAGAATCTGAAAGCAATCTGCATAAATAGCAACAGGACACTGGATGAATAAACTTTGATATTTCTTATAACATAATATTATATGGCATTCAAAAAGAATGAACTTCAGTGACCCACAATATAGAGAAATCATAACAATAGTAAACAAAAACTGTAGACCCCAAAAGATTATATATAGTATGGCACCCTTTTTAAAAGTTGAAAGTAAACACACACATACATTTAGGAATATACATGAAGTCATGAAAATTATATAAAACAAAAAGCAGAGAATGATGAATATGAAATCCAGAATGATGGTTATGTCACATAAGGGAAGCTTGGAAATGGGATAGGACTGGGGAGGAGATCCTGGGTAGCCTACAACGTAGGTGCTGAGTTTATAGGGGCTTACTATATTGTAAAAGGTAAAGAGCTAATACATAAATAAAAGCAGAACATGTATGAACCAATGCTATTAGGAACCAAGAATAATGAGTAATATAATTCTGATGTCTCTAAAGTTAAAAAATAATTTAAAATTCAGGCTGGGTGAGGTCGCTCACGCCTGTAATTGCAGCACTTCGGGAGTCACAGACAGGAGGAATAAAGTATAATTATTGAAGGTGATGTTTATGTTAGTTTGATTGAATCATTCCACACTGCATACATATAAAATTACTGTATACCTCATAAATATATATAATTATAATTGGTAAATAAATAAGAACTCTTACCTAATATTAATTTTTTTATTTTTTTATACTTTATTTTTTGGTCATTTTTTTGTCCTTTTTTCTGTTTTTTATTTTTTTCTTTCTAGTTTTGTTTTTTCTAATATTAATTTTGAATATCATATGAGTTTTTTTTTAAAGAGCATAGGCTAGAGTAGCTTACTACAACCTTTGTGATGTTTTAAAGACAAAAGTCAGCAGTAATTTCTGTATTGTAGAAATAAAAAGAGGCAGGTCTCAGTGCTGAGTCCAGGTGGTCAAGAGACTTGACTGTATCAGAACCATGGATGCAGAACTTAACATAGTTTCTGTCACTGCCAAAAAGCAAAATGTCAGTGGGTGAATGCCTGGGCTAACAACCTTACAGCATCCATTTCAGATGTTGATCTAGTCCTGGCTTGGTGTGGTGGCTCGCATCTGTAATCCCAGAATTTTGGGAGGCTGAGGTGGCAGGTGGCGGGCAGCGGGAGGGTGGGGAGCTGATCACTGGAGGTCAGGAGTTTGAGACCAGTCTGGCCAACATGGTGAAACCTGTCTCTACTAAAAATACAAAATATTAGCTGGTCATGGTGGCGTCCAGCTGTAGCTCTGGCTACTTGGGAGGCTGAGGCACAAGAATCACTTGAACTGGCCGGGCTCTGTGGCTCACGCCTGTAATTCCAGCACTTTGGGAGGCCAAGGCAGGTGGATCATCACCTGAGGTCAGGAGTTCCACACCAGCCCAGCCAACCTGGTGAAACACCCTGTCTCTACTTAAAAAAACAAATAAATTAGCTGGGTGTGGTGGCAGGCGCCTGTAATCCCAGCTACTTAAGAGGCTGAGGCAGGGAGAATCACTTGAACCCAGGAGGTGGAGGCTGCAGTTAGCAGAGATAGTGCCATTGCACTTCAGCCTGGGCAACAGAGTGAGACTCTTTCTCAAAAAAAAAAAAAAAAAAATCACTTGAACCTGGGAGGTGGGGGTTGCGATGAGCTGAGATGGCATCACTGTACTCCAGCTGGAGTGACAGAGTGAGACCCCATCTCGAAAAATAAGTGATACAAGTCTCTAATCCTGACCTAAACCTAGTAATTGTATAGAAACTTGGAGGGTCTGACTAGACTTCATAGACCTCTGGAAAGACAAGGGTTTAACCCACCAGGGCAAAATTTACATGGTTTTACATACACCAAAAAGAACCACCTCATAACTGGAGAGAGGAGGAAAAATAATTCTTTCTCCTGTCCTCGATTCTGGGAATGTCTGGAGTAAATACACTGACATAATGCCTGTCACACTGCTTGGTTCCCTAATGGTTGACATTTGTCCTACCCTTTCTACACTGACTTCATTTTCCATAACCCTCATGGTAGGCAAAATAATGGCTGCTTCCAAAGATGGCAATGTAGTAATCCCCTCAACCTGTGAATAAATAAGGTTATGTGGCAAAGGATAATTATAATCGAAGAGGAAATTAGGGTTGCTAATTAGCTGAACTCGAGATAAAGAAGTTATCTGGGTGGAGCCCAAACCAAGGAGATTGGGCTGTAATCATAAGGGGCCTTAAAAGTAGGAGAGGGGAGGCGGGAGGGAGGGAGCAAAAAAAAAATAAAAATAAAAATAAATAAAATAAATAAAGTAGGAGAGGGATGACAGGACACCCCAGCACTTTGGAAGACCAAAGCAGGAGGGTTCAGGAGTTCAAGACCAGCCTGGACAACATAGTGAGACCTTGTTTCTACTACAGATAAAAATTCAAAAAAACGAAAAAGGGTAAGAGGGATGCTGAACAGAGAGCAATGCAATGTGAGAAAGACTACAGTAGTCTCCCCTTATCCAAGGTTTCCCTTTGCAGGATTTCAGGGTTTGTTACCCCATGGTCAACCATGTTTTAAAAATAGGTGAGTACAGGACAATATTTTGAGAAAAAGAGACCGACCATGTTCACTTAACTTTTAGTACAGTATACTGTTATGATTGTCCTATTTTATTAGTTGTTGTTAATCTTGTATGGTGCCTAATGCATACATTTTAACTTCATCACAGGTACACATTTACAGAAAAAAGTGTATATAGGGTTTGGGATTGTGGTTTCAGCCATCCACTGTGGGTGATGGAACTTAAACCCCACAGAAAGGGGGAGGACTACAGTATCACTGGTTTTGAAAATGCAAGTAAGCAATAAACCAAGGAGTCTGGGCAGTCTCTAGCTGCTGAGAAAGGAAAGAAAACAGATTCTCCTTTTTAGAGCTTCCAAGAAACGAAAGCAGCTCTGGCAACCTTTTATTTTAAGTGTTTTTGAGACAGGGTCTTAGTCACCCAGGCTGGAGTGCAATGGCGCAATCTCAGTTTACTGCAACCACCCCTCCCGGGTTCAAGCGATCTCTCCACCTCAACCTCCTGAGTAGCTGAGATTGCAGGCGCTTGCCACCACGCCTGGCTAATTTTTTGTATTATTTTGTAGAGACAGGGTCTCCCTATTGTTGCCCAGGCTGGTTCCAACTCCTGGACCCAAGAGATTCGCCCGCCTCAACCTCCCAAAGTGCTGTGATTACAGGCGTGAGCCGCGGCGCCCGGCCTTCGAAAACCATATTGAACTAGTTCCATGTGTGTTTCCTTGGCACAACGAAATATGGGATCAGATAACTTGCCTCTGATTTACTACAGTTAAGAAAAAAAATGACGATTTGCCTCCTTTCCCTTTATAGTCTAAACTCCAGCTCAATGCCTCTGTACTTTTTGCGACCTCTTACAGGGAGTCAGGGCCGGCCAAAAGCTTCCAGGGTTGGAATGAGGAGGCTACTAGAGAAGCTGCTTTCTCCTGAATGGGGATGATCCCAGGCGCACATGGTTAATAACACGCCGGGGAGCGCTCAGTCCGTGCGCGTTAAGGACAGGGCCAACCCTGCATTCCAGGTTCTCCATGTGCCTCGAGGGCCGGAATCCACAGTATGACAACAGATCTGACTGCTAATGCGCGAAACCGATCCGCAGTAGCGGCAGCACGAAAAGAATAATTGCAATCTAAACGCCACTAGTGTCCCAAGCGAGCCCCAAAAGGACTCCCCATACTGTCGCCAGCAAGCTGGGAGTCCCGCCCACCTTTCCGGCACTGAAACGCGATTGGCCGCACATGGCACCGCCTCCTCCTTTTGACCTCACCGACTCTGCAGCGACGGACGCTTGAGAGTGCTGCACCGCGCTACGTAGGAAGTACTTCCCGCGGCGGAAGCTTCTGAGCGTGATATAGCGGAAGTGCCTTCTCTTCCGGTCTTTCTGGTCCCGGTCGCAAAAGCAGGATGGTGAGTTGTTCTGGCTCTCTGTGGATCGCGTTTCATCCTCGTCCTCTCTGCCTCCCTGTTTGCTGCCCTTGCGGGTCCGGCAAGATTTCGGACAAAGGGAACTGGTGGGCAGGAAAGAGGCATGCGATGGCCCTCAAGAGCCAGAATAACGGCTGCTAACTGGTGCCTGGGGGACCGAGCCCGCCTTAGTTGTGGAGCTGGAGCCGTACTATGCCCCTTGCTTAGGTGCAGCCTTTGGGGATGTTTCACAGCTCTAACCTTAGTTGGGAGCTGAGGGAAGGAGTTTGGGAGTGTTTGGCTCTATGTAACAATGAAGGAATTCATTGGTGATGTTGCCTGGCAGGAGTCTTTAAAGATAAGGTATTCAGAATATTGCAACTCTTACAGAGGGCTTTAGGTAACGTGAAATTCTGGTAATGGTCTCTGTCTTGGCATTTTTCGAAAGTTTGGAGGGTTCTCCCACAGTTTGGACCTTTATGATTGCCTTTAGATTTTATCAGTAATTGGTTTCCTGGAAAACTCGGGTAAATGTAGAAATTGCCAGGTTCCAGCATTATTTATTCCTTTAATGTGCAGACGAAGGGAACGTCATCGTTTGGGAAGCGTCGTAATAAGACGCACACGTTGTGCCGCCGCTGCGGCTCTAAGGCCTACCACCTTCAGAAGTCGACCTGCGGCAAATGTGGCTACCCCGCCAAGCGCAAGAGAAAGTGTAAGTAACGTTTTTTAGGCCAACTGTGTTAGCTTTTGTTTGTATTGCACTTAAGCGAGGGCATGGGTTTGAACTTTATTTGGTGCCTAACTTAAAACTTGTGCGTCTGTATGGTAGTGAACTGGCATAAAACTCGTGTATTAACAATACCTACCAGGTGTGTGTGTGGGAAACCAATTGAAATCTTCTGAACCTCTGTTTTAGATAACTGGAGTGCCAAGGCTAAAAGACGAAATACTACCGGGACTGGTCGAATGAGGCATCTAAAAATTGTATACCGCAGATTCAGGTACAGTTTGTATGGTGGATCATAATTGGTCCTATGGGCTTGAATGAAACTCTTGTGTTGAGTAAAACGATAACTGTCCTGATGGTTACTGCGGATGAGATGTTGAAAGCTTTTTGTTTTGTTGAGACAGGGTCTCACTACGTTGCCCAGGCTTGGTTGAGTGCAGTGGCACAGTCACGGCTCACTGCAGGCTCAATCTCCCCAGGCTCAGGTTAACTCACCTCAGTCACCCGAGTATCCACTACAGGTGTGCGCCACCACACACCCAGCTGATTTTTGTGTTTATTGTAAAGGATGGAGTTTTGCCAAGTTACCCAGGTCTCAAGTGATCTGCCTGACCAAAGTGCTTGGATTTATGGGCGTGAGCTACCACTCCAGGCTAGATCTTGAAAGCTTTTATCTTCTGTCACTGTAACCTTGAGATCAGTGAGTTTGGATTTTATTAGTTTTTTTCACTAAATAGTAATATAAGTTATCTGGAACATTTTGTTTCAGCTAGGGTCCCAAAATGTTGATATTAGGAATACCTATTTAATTGGTATCGAATTTGTCAAGACAGCAGTGAATAAGGCCTGGAATCAGGCTTGGTTCAACCTTCAGTATTGTGGCTGTGGGCAAGCGTGCTGTTGAAAACTGCACTGGTTGCTGTTGTTACCTTACACTCTTGTTATTCAAGAGTCTTGTCCTTAGAGTTAGAAATGCAGAATCTCAGCTTAAAGAGTATCTAAGAGAGTAACCCATCTGAGATCTCAGTTGAGATTCAGAATGATGCAGACTTAACTTTAAAGCTGGCGTTCCTTACTATGTTCTATTTTAGCAATTCTCTGATGTTGATATTTTGGGCTGGATAATTTGTGGTGGGATTGTCCAGTGCAAAATTGAGTATTTTGCAGAATCCCTACCCTCTACCCACTCAGTCTAATTTTAAAAAGATAACAGGGCAATTCAGGGCTTTGTAGACACCTGTATGTAGGCGTGTTCGTGTGTTGAAGCGACTTTCTTTGCACTTAGGGTCATAGATTTCTGTGGGCTTAATGTTGAGTGGTCTGTTAGTCCAATATAGTGTTAAGAGCTTGAACTGAAGCCAGGCTTTAAGTTACTTAACTTTTCTGTGCCTTGATTCACTCACCTTAGAAGGATAGTTGACCTTTTTTAAGAGAATATATGGATGTTAAATAAGTTAAAAAGCAAAGCTCTTAGTAGTTTGAGAATGTCTGCCATTAAACATGCTCATTGTTTTTTCTTGGTGAAAACAGTTGGGATCTATTCTCATAGCATAGGGAACCATTTTCACAAATACCTGTGATCTCGTGCCAAATAAGAGTAAAATACCGGCCCCATGACTAGTATATCAAAAAAGTTTTTGAGCTTTTATTGGAATTGGGGTTAACTGTATCTGAAAATGGTTATCTTTAAGCAAAGTGAAGAATTGCAGCTTATCAGTGATGTAAAAATAAATGTCTGAACATATGAATGCTATTGATTTCAGCATTTAACTGAGATAAGCGCATTGAAATCTGTTTAACAAAAATTAAAATTGATGTATCGACGTGCTGAAGTAAATTGTTCCTGTTTTTGACATTGTGCAGGCATGGATTCCGTGAAGGAACAACACCTAAACCCAAGAGGGCAGCTGTTGCAGCATCCAGTTCATCTTAAGAATTTCACCGATTTAGTCATGCAATAAATATTCTGGTTTTAAAAATACGTATCTGGTGTGTGCTAAGGTACTTTTAATCAATTGGCTTGTAGTATCAGTGAAATACTATAGGTTTAGGGACTGAGCCAGCTTAATTACTTTTAAGTGACTGTTTTAGAGTGTTTACTTTTGGACTGGGGTTGTAAGACTGTTTAAGGCAATGAGAAGCAGAATTCTAGGATTCCTTGAAGCAGAGGGCACTAGAAGACAACATAGCAGATTAGAATAGCACAGCTTATGTGACACAGATGGGTATTAAAGATGGTTTAGTAAATTTCAAAGAGCATGATGTTTACCTTTAGTAGCATGTTCCATCTGCTATATTCATGACTTGGGGGGCGGTGATTATTAGTCACATGGGAGTACCAGTGAAAACATAAAGGGTAGGAGTTAGGTGGTTTATGTTTTTCAAAAGATGTTTTCCTAGTATCTGTAATGCTCACTTGGTGCATCTGGCTTGTGGGCTTTGCGTAAGGTGGCTTGCTAAGTGAAAAAAGCTTGCTAGGTGTGAGTCAACTTCAGAATAAGTAGGTTTGAGGAAAAAGTAGGGCTGGATGCAAGTAAGGATTGAGCAGGAAATAAAGGAAAACAAAGTATAAATCCTGAGATCTGTAGGCTAAAGGCAAGGATGTGGGACTACTTGGTTGACTTTTTTTAGTCCTCAGCTTGGTAATTGTTGGGTGTTTCTGTGTTAAAGCACTGAAACTAACTCCCAGTCTTGGTTTATTGACATTGACAGGGTTGGGTTTTTGGGAAATGAAGAGACAGCTGGACTGCTGGGGCAGGTGAAGGAAAGATGAATGCCAGAACAGCTCCATAAAATAGTGATGTAGCCAAGTCATGCTATTTAAATAAAAATTCTCTACTGTGTTTAGGATAACATCTGAGGTTCTTGACCTGGCCTTGGAAGGGAATCACTTGTACTTGCAACCTTGGAATGGCTTTTTAGAACATACATGCTAGCTAATTGCTATCCGTCTTCCTGTGTTTTAACTCCTAATTTACCCTTCAGGTCTCAGCTTCTGAACATTTACTTGTAAAGAAACCCTGCTGATTAGGCCAGGCGCGGTGGCTCACGCCTGTAATCCCAGCGCTTTGGGAGGCTGAGGCGGGTGGATCATGAGGTCAAGAGATCGAGACCATCCTGGTCAACATGGTGAAACCCTGTCTCTACTAAAAATACAAAAAATCAGCTGGGCATGGTGGCGCATGCCTGTAATCCCAGCTACTCAGGCGGCTGAGGCAGGAGAATTGCCTGAACCCAGGAGGCGGAGGTTGCAGTGAGCTGAGATCGCGCCATTGCACTCCAGTCTGGGTAACGAGTGAAACTCCATCTCAAAAAAAAAAAAAAAAGAAACCCTGCTGATTAATCTCTCTTGTGCTTCCTCCCAAAATGTGAGACTGTATTTTAAAGATGTATTGTTAGAATCCAGTTGCCTTCGTTGGCTTTCTTGTTTTGAGATAGTGCAGTGGCATAGTCCCAGCTCACTGTAGCCTCTACTTCCTCGGCTCAGGTCAAGTGATCCTCCTGCCTCAGCCTTCTGAGGAGCTGGGACTACAGATACACAGCACCACACCTGGCTGATTTTTGTGTTTTTTTTTTTTTGGTAGAGATGGAGATTTGACATGCTGCCCAGAGCTCCATTTACCTACCTCAGCCTCCCAAAGTACTGGTACTACAGGCATGGGTCACACACCTGGGCCAGTTGTCATTTATTGATGTCACTTTACTAAAACAACTGTGCCTGTGTTCACATAAAAACTGGAGGACTAATTAGTAACTTTCATTGGCTTGTGAACAGTGGATAGTTTATTTTCCAGTGACCACAACCTAAAGTTAGTGATAATTAGGCTCAGGATTATGAAATTGCTTTTGACTTAGAAAAGCAACAATTTTGTTAATTTAAGCTTGATAAAGCAAATAGTCTTCTGACTTTAAGATCTTTTCTGACCTAATCTTCCATCATTACCAATGTTTGATTCCTGAGTGACGGGGAACCCACTAAAATAGGTGAGAAACCCAGTATGGAAAAAATACCAGGCATTGAGACAAGTTGGCACTGACCCTAATAAAGCTGTTGGTAGTCACAGTTCCTTAATCACAGACCCAGGGAGAAGCAATGGGAAAGAGGGGTGGGTTAGCACTTTTATAATAGGGTACCAAACGGGTGGACTTAATTGTACTTGGTGAGTTCTAGATTACAAAATGTTTGTGTTCCTAGGTCTCCTGTATCTGATGTGATCCTGAGGATCACAGCCAGGGTTTAGGCAATGGATCCCAATCCAACAAAAGATGTTGGGCTAGTGCCACACCTGTTCTATTGAGACAGGAAGCAGTAGGCCTGACACAACACCTGTTGGGTCCTGAGTTGCGTGGAATTTATATTTCTTAGGCAGAGTGCACATAAGATCAGATGGGCTACTGAAGTAAGACTTGGAATTTTGAGTGTTTCATATCCTATGAGTGGTTTTAATTTGCCCTTTGAGCCCCTGCCATATATATGTTGTTTGATTTGGCCCATCAAATAGTTGATTTTTTGTCCATGGTACATGAGTTTCATCTGTTCCGTTTATTTTTTACCTTCTATGGCAGAATTAGGTATTCTCAAATAAGCAAATTTGCATTACTTTAGGCTCTGAAATCATACGAAAGACTGGGAAATGTCCCCATTACATCGCCAAACTTTCGAGTAAAGCTAGCCTATTGAAGATTGATGACTTGAAAGACAGGTATAATGTAAAGCTGGTGAAGTTTGGCCAGTTTTGGCTCCAGAAGTCCAGTGAAAGCACCATGACCTCCATATACTATACAACCCCACTTAACCACCTTATCCTCCTGCCATGCAGAGGGGTAAGTTTTTTAAAAACAGCCCTTGACCTTAGTGACTCCAATTTTCAAATGAAATAAGCAGTGGATCTTGCATTCAAATTCTAGTCATGTTACCACCCTGTTCTTACAGCTTGGTTTACCTGCCACTGCACTGAACTTTCCAGTAGCCTACCATTTTTATTCATTGTAACCTATGTTGTGTTCTCTACATTTACCTTTTTTTAAAAAAATACATTATTTAAAAAAAAATTAGAGATGGAGTTTCACTATGTTGCCCAGGCTGGTCTTGGACTCTTGGGTTCAAGTGATCCTCTCATCTCGGCCTCCCAAAGTGCTGGGGTTACAGGCACAGGCCACTACACTCTACCCGTTGTCTGGATATCTATCTTTAGCACTCAGTCCTGCCCAAGTTACAGATATGTATAGATACCCTGTATACTTTAAACCTTTTTTCTGCAGTATTATGTGTAGGTGTGCAAAAACAAGTTTATTTTTCCTAAGTACCCCATGTGCTTTTCAACTGTCCCCACAGCCCCTACTTCCCTCCCACCTCAGTTCACAAAGTCAGGTTGATTTGCCTCCAACTGTCAAAGCAGGGTACGTTTCCACATGTAACTGGTTATGCTCTGTAAAGTTATAAAAATACAAAGGCTAATAAGGTTGAGTCTGTGGCATTGAAAACCTTTGGGAACCATACCGTAATTGTAACTCCCTAATTGTGCCCTGCACTTCATAAACAGTAAGTAGTAAAATAAAGGATTTTTAGTTTACTGAATGAATTCATTAAACAATTGAGCAGCTTCTAAAGCCTGGGCATAATAAAGTTGAAAATAAAGGCCTCAATTTCTTTAGAGGCCTTACCTCTAATTGAGACACAGATGATTATATATTGTATGCTATGATGGATAAATACACTGGTTGCTGTGAGAGCCTTGGAAAGGAGTTTGTCACTCAGTAGATGAAGGGAGACTAAGATTTAAGCTGAGCCAGGGAGAATTTAAAGGAATCATGATGAGAAAGGATGTAAGTGGCCTTGTCAGCAGTGAAACCAGTCAGTGTCATCCCATCTAAATTTGATTAAAAAAAAAAGAGCAGGGCATAACTATGGAACTGCAGCTACTGTGGTTGTCAGGTTAGGAGGGGGTGGAGGTATGTGGGACTGGTAAGAAAAGAAGGAAAAGCAGTGATGAGATTATGAAGGATTTTTTTTGACAAATTATTGAGGATTTCAAGCAGAATGTTAGGAATAGTTACTTTAGCAAGATTAATGTGGAAAACATTAGTGTGCATGTGATGAGTCGAAGCTAGAAAAATAGGAACAAGTTTTGAAATAGTTCATGTGAAAATCTCACACAGACTAAGTCAGTGGCTGTGGGGCTGTCGGAGAGATCTCTACAGAGAACATCTAAAACTTTTTTTCCTCCCTATTGCTTTGAGCAAAAACATTTTTTTGAGACGAAGTTTCGCTCGTTACCCAGGCTGGAGTGGGTACCTTCAAGTGGGTAACCCAATTCTCCTGCCTCAGCCTCCTGAGTAGCTGGGATTACAGGCACACACCACCATGCCCAGCTAATTTTTTGTATTCTTAGTAGAGATGGGGTTTTACCATGTTGACCAGGATGGTCTTGATCTCTTGACCCCATGATCCACCTGCCTCGGCCTCGCAAAGTGCTGGGATTACAGGCGTGAGCCACTGCGCCCGGCGAGCAAAAACATCTAAAACTTGAATGTACAAGTCAGTAGCTAACTTTCAAGCCCCTGTTTGTGTATAATTTTCTGTATCTCAAGGTGTGTGAGGATTACATGAGATCATACATGTAACAATAATAGCATTGTGTCTAATACAGCAGCCTCAGGGAGAGATGCTTTGGGATATCTTAGGTTTCTGGACGAACGAAAGGAGGTGGTTGCTCCACTCAAATACAGAATGATAAGGAATATAGAAAGGTAATGAGGGGAAAGTAGTAAAGTTGGGTTTTGTTGACATACCTGTGGGGACATCAGGAGGAAGTGTCTAGGAAGCAGCTGAATTGGAAAGTCAGGGCTGGATATCTACATTTAGAAGTAACAATTGTGGATAGAAACCAATTTTAAGAGTTAGAATGGTGCAGATAATATAAGCATGGAAATGTAATACGGAGATTTGATAGTCATTTGCAAGTCAGAGAAAGATGAC